TCTGATGAACGAAGATACCAAAATCCTCAACAAAATATTAGCAAACCAAATCCAAAAATACATTTAAAAATTCACAGTAAGGTAGGATTTCTTCCTGGGATGCAAGGGTAGTACAATATTTGCAAATCAATTAATGTGATACATCACATCATCAACAGAAAGTATAAAAAAACCCACATGATCATTTTAATAGATACAGAAAAAGCATTTGACAAAGCACAGCATTCTTTCGTGATAAAGATCCTCAACAAAGTAGGTTCAGAAGGAACTTACCTCAACATAATAAAGGCCATCTATGAAAAACCCACAGCTGACATTATACTTTTCTCCTAAGATCAGGAATTAAGACAAGCATATCCACTCTTACCATATTATTCAACATAGTATTGAAAGTCCTAGCCATAGCAATCAGAAGAGAAGAAGAAATAAAAGCCGTCCAAATTAGTAAGAAGTAAAACTTCAGCTATTTGCAGATGACATGATAATATATATAGAAAAAACTCTAAAGACTCCACCAAAAAACTACTTGAACTAATAAATGAATTCAGAAGGGTTGCAGGATACACACTCAATATACAGAAACCCACTGCATTTTATACATTTCTAATGAAGTAACAGAAAGAAAAATTAAGATAACAATTCCATTTAGAATTGCACCAAAAAGAATGAAATACCTAGGAATAAACTTAACCAACAGGGTGAAAGATCTCTACTCTGAACACTGTAAAATATTAATGAAGGGAATTGAAGATGACACAAACAAATGGAAAGATATCCCATGTTCATAGATTGGAAGAACAAAATTATTAAAATGTTCATACTATGCAAAGCAATCTACAGATTTAATGCAATCCCTATCAAAATACCAACAGCATTTTTCACAGAACTAGAATAAATAATCCTAACATTTGTATGGAACCACAAAAGACCCTGAATAACCAAAGCAGTCTTGAAAAAAAAGAACAAAACTGGAGGTATCACAAACCCAGATTTCAAGCTATGCTACAGAGCTGTAGTAAAACAGTAAGTTACTGGCACAAAACAGATGCATAGATCAATATAACAGAATAGAAAGACCAGAAATAAACCCACAATTTTAATGGCTGTCAAGTTTTCCACAAAGGAGGCAAGAATATGCAATGGGAAAAAGACAGTCTCTTTAACCAATGATGTTGGGGAAACTGGACAGCTACATACAAAACAATGAAATGGAACCATTTTCTTACATCATACACAAAAATACACTCAAAATGGATTAGGGGCCTATGTGTGAGACCTGAAACCATAAAAATTCTAGAAGAGAGCACAGGCAGTAATGTCTCTGACATTGGTTATAGTAACATTTTTCTAGATATGTCTCCTGACATAAGGGAAACAAAAGCAAAAATCAGCTATTGCAACTACATCAAAATTAAGAGCTTTTGCAGATCAAAGGAAACAGTCCACAAAACTAAAAGACAGCCTACTGAATGGGAGAAGATATTTGCAAATAACATATCGATAAAAGGTTATAAAATATATAAAGAACTTTTACAACTCAACACCGAAAAAAAAACCCCACCACAAATCCAATTAAAAAATGGGCAGAAGACATGAACAGACATTTCTCCAAGGAAGACATAGAGATGGCCAACAGACACATAAAAAGATGCTCACGTCACTGATCATCAGGGAAATGCAAATTAAAACCATGATGAGATATCACCTCATACCAGTAGAATGCCAAAAAAAAAAACAAAAAACAAACAAACAAAAAAAACACATGAAATAAGTGTTGGCAAGGATATGTTAAAAAAAAAAAAGGAACCCTTGTGCACTTACAGTGGGAATGCAGCCATTGTAGAAGACAGTATGGAGTTTCCTCAAAACAATGAAAAATAGAATTACCAAATGATCCAGTAATTCCACTACTGGATATTTACCCAAAGAATATGAGCAGTAATTTGAAAATATGTATGTACCTCTGTGTTTATTGCAGCATTATTTACAATAGCCAAATTATGGAAGCAGCCGAAGTGTCCATCAATAGATGAATGGATAAAGAAGATGTAGTATATATCCATGTTGGAATATTACTCAGCCATAAGAAAAAGAACGAAATCTTTCCATTTGCAACAACATGGATGGATCCAGAGGGTATAATGATAAGTGAAATAAGTCAGAAAAAGACAAATACCATATGATTTGTCTCCTGTGTTAAATTTAAAAAATAGATCAAATCAACAACAACAAAAAAGAGATAAGTAACAAGACTCTTAAGTATAGAGAACAAACTGATGGTTACCAGTTGGGAGATTGGTAGGCAAAGAGGTGAAATAAGTGAAGGGGACTAAGCATTCACTTGACGTAATGAACACTGAGAAATGTTTAGAATTTTTGGATCACTATATTGTATATCTAAAACTAATATAACAAACACTGTTTTTTAATTGTACTGGAATTTTAAAAATTAATTTATCTTGTGTAAACCTCACATATTTACAATAAAAAAATATATAAAGAACCCAGATGTCCATCAACAGATGAATGGATAAAAAAGATATGGAATATGATTCAGCCATCAAAAAGAATGAAATCTTGCCATTTGCAACAATGTGGATCGAACTAGAGGGTATTATGGCAAGCAAAATAAGTCAGTCAGAGAGACAATTATCATATGATTTCACTCATATGTGGAATTTAAGAAACAACATGAAGAATCATAGGGGAAGAGAGGGAAAAATAAAGTGAGATGAAATCAGAGACGAAGACAAACCGTAAGAGACTCTTAACTATAGGAAGCAAACTGAGGGGTGCTGGAGGGGAGTTGGGTGGGGGGATGAGGCAACTGGGTGATGAGCATTAAGGAGGGCACTTGATGTAATGGGCACTAGGTGTTGTATACAATCACCAAATTGTACCTCTGAAACTAATATTATAGTATATGTTAATTAAATTGAATTTAAATTTTAAAAATCTAAGTGAAATAACAGCTTGGTTATTTCTAACAAGCTTTCCATGTTGTGCAGGGGATTTCTGGACAGGTTTAATAGAAATATAACATTTCAGATCACCTCAAGGAATAAAGGAATGGTGCAGCTCTGATGCATTCAAAGAGAAGAAAGAAATATCTTATTTTCCTATTACACAATTGTACTGTAGTTTTTAAACCAGTATCTTCTAGTGATAAGTATTTAGTTTGTTTCAGTGTGTTTTACTATAACTAGCAATGCTGCAAGCAATATATTTTTTTTTATTTTTTTTTCAAGCAATATATTTTATGCAAATCCTGATCATGCTACTGACAGTAAATTTCTAGCAGTATGGTGCTAAAAATAGGGTATGTGCATCTTACTTTTGCCAGGTACTAACAAACAGCCCCCACAAAAAGATTGTTCTCATTCATATTCCCTGTCAGCAGTATATACCAACAATATTTAATTTTCAGATAAAATAATCAGTGTTTCTGTGTCACCTTATAAAAAGGAATCATGTGTTTTCTGTGTCTTTAAGAAAATATGCAACTCCTTTTAATTTTTCTAGGGTCTAAAGTGAGGTCAGCCTGGCTCAAGTCAATTCTAACTGAGGGAATTGAAGGAGGCAGAGAAATAGTGTTTAGTAGTTACTAGTTTGATAACGCCTTCCCCTGGCTTCTCTGAGCTCCAAAGGAAAGAGGGAAAGATGCTGGAGGAAGCCCTTGAGCTGAAGCTCCAAAGGAAAGAGGGAAAGATGCTGGAGGAGGCACTGAGCTGAATGCAGAAGGACTTGTCTGTGAGTGACCTGGGCAAGTCCTTAGCCTCTTCTCTTTATATACATATACCAAGTGAGGAAAGCCATGTGAACAGGGACCACACAATACGACCTTTTGTTTTTCTTTTCAAATAAAAGAACCATATGAATTATATGTACTCTTTACCCCCAGGTTAAGATAACGTATACAGGCTGTTTGAGATACTTTATGATTGAAAAGACCTAGAAGAGACCTATTATAGATGTAAAATAACAGTAATTACCAAATTTTTAAGTGCATGCTAAGTTCCAGACACTGTACTAAGCGTTTAAAAACTACTTTATCTCAATTTCTTAAAGTGGCTGTAGGTGTATTCTCATTTTTTCAATTATGGGAATTATTGCTTAGAGATATTATACAACTTACAGATTTGAACCATGGTCTCTGCGGCTCCAAAGTCCCCATTCTTTCAGTATGAAGTGTAAGTTGCTGTGAGATTTATCCTCTATAAACTCAGATACCTGGATAGCACAGAATCCACAGTACTTCCTGCTCTCCTTTACTAGCTGTATGATTTGGGGCAGATTACTTAATCTCTCTGAGTCTCAGTTTCCTCATCTGAAAATGGGGATATTATTAATATTCTTTTTTAGGGTTGTGGGGTGGTTTAAATGAATATATGCCCACTACTTAAAACAGTGCCTGGCACAAAGTAAGGACGAATGCTAAGTGCTAACATCATCATCATCATGATTAGTTCTTTCCAAGGGAAATGGGAGGCTTGATAATAAATATTCTTAGAATATGGAGCAAAGGCCACCTTCTAAAGCCATAAGCTCAGAAATTCATCATCAGTCAACAAGTATCCTCCATGTCAGGAACAAAAGCTCCAAGAGAAGAATGAGACAAGGTCATTTCAATCTAGTTAAAAAACAAAATGGAACTCACATCATGTGCTTCAGTGCTCCATGGGTTTGTCTGAATTCCAGTGTGGCGATGGTAAATGTGGGCTGACACAATCAGAGGAGCCGTCCTGGAGGAGCAAGGAGCTGAGATCCACATTGGGCTTTGCAGAACGGGTAGGATTTGGAGTGCAGGCATTCCAGGGGAGGGCCGCTGCAGGGGAGAGGAATAGAGGTGAGCCTCATGGGGAAGAGTAGGACTGGATCGAACCAGAGTGGGAGCAGGGATAGGGGTAGCAGGGTAGGACCTCTGTCCTACTTTCTTGAAAATCTTTAGGAATGATTCTGTTCAGACTTTCAGAGTAAAAATTCTTGTCACTTTGTTACAGTGAGGAATGCACAGCAGAAGCATATCCTTGCGGCCCATCAGATCATCCACGGGCACACAGAAGACATGGTCAAGAAGAATTTTGTTGAGCAAGAGCAAGATGAAGAGGTCTCAGACACTGACAAGTCACCTGAGGAAGATACTCAAAATAAAGAATAGCAGCTAAGGTGGGTTTGATTTTTTCATCTGAAAGGAAGCAGAAAGTAGGAGAGGCAGCATCATTCAGCTCTCTGCTCTACCCCAACAGCCATGTGTTTAAGAAAGTGAGACACTCCCATTGAAGCTGGCACATTTCATCTAGGTTATAAAATCTACTATCAAAGATTCTTAGAGAAGAGAGTTGACATTATAGCAGTTGGACTCTTGTGTCCAGAAAACAGGATTCTAGATAATTTTTTATGGGTCCTTAAAGTATATAATGTTATTCCATCACAAAGCTGTAAAATGTGTCCATGTTATTTTTTGTGTGTGTGTGTGTGTGTGTCCATGTTATAAAAAGCAGCTTGTTCTTATGGAGTAGATACAGCCATCTCATCATGCTGGCTGTAAGCACAGCAGAAGGCATGTTTCCTGATTCTAGCCCAGGTACCTCCTGCAGTGTCCACCAGGAGTTGGTCTTAGACTCAACTAAATGTTCCTACTCACAAGACTAACATAGACCAGGTTTTAAATGATTTGAGTATCCATCTACTCAAAAAGATAGAAGATGGGAACCACAACTTCAAGCAGGGCAGCATCAGGTGTTTCTCTTCCTATGGAAGCTCTTACCATATCCACACAGACAAACACATAGCTGTTTTCTTTAGTCCCCCAGTTACAAAGCTCAGGTGCAAGGAAGAGAGATTTACACTGGGTAGGTACAGGACCTGCCTTGGTTTACATGCCTCAGGGGCCAGTGTATCTTATAATGATTCCATAGGCACTATTTCCAGGGTCCCCCTAATGGATTTGCCTGGTTACAATAGTCACCACCCAGGAAAGCTCAAACCTACGGTTTCCTGTGGTATTAATAATTCCTTTATCCTTCCAATCAAATGCTAGTTACCACTTGGAGGTCAAGTAGTGTTGCTCAGTAACAGAGTTGATATAAACGTCTTAACGAATTATTAGGAGAAGAGAGCTAGAGTCCATTTAAAGTAAAGTTCTTGGGGTACCTAGGTGGCTCAATGTGTCTGCCTTCTGCTTGAGGTGTGATCCCAGAGCCCTGGGGTCGAGTCCCACGTCAGGCTCCCCGCAGAGAGCTTGCTTCTCTCTTGGTCTCTGCCTGTCTCTCTGTGTCTCTCGTGAATAAATAAATAAAATCTTTTTGTTAAAAAAGTAAAATTCTCATGAGAATTCTCGTAAGAAAGGGAGTTAATCCTTTGCCTATACCTTCTCCCTCAACTGTCACCTGATGGGACCACATCATGTACTATTTTGGCCTAAGAGTATGCTACCAGGATAGAGAAGGCATAGGCTTGGGGAGAAATTTGTGACCAAAGACCCTCTGCAAAGGAATCTATTGAGGCCTTAAGTTTTAATCAAGGAAGACTGTGGAAGGAATATCAAGATGAGGGGGCAGTTAAGAAGGAAAGCAGAGAAAAAAACTGATAAAGGTACTCTTAAATACCAAGGTATGGCTATAAATTACAGCAGAAAGTCTTTTGTTTTTAATTAATAATGAAATAACCTGTGAAATTTCTGAAGATATAAACCATGTATTTACATGTAATGTTATCCATGTATCTATATAATATAAATTCAAGGGCCAAAAAATGAGATTTTGCCAATCTCATTATTATGATAAAAATCACCTTCAATATTTGGATAGTCCTTTTTCTTACATGAAAATTTAACAAGATTAATAATTTACATAGTTTAAATTGAGTATGTATGCCTTTACTTCTGAGTATAAAGTATCTCTTTATTTTGCTTTATTAAATGTTTGGAACATGATGCTTAGTTGCCCCCTTAATATGTTTTACTCTTTCTTTCTTCTCTGTGGGAAGGAGGGAAGGACAGATGTCAGATGTGAAATTATTTAACAATGCCTAGGGATGTAGAGATGGAACATTCATTTTAAAATATGTTTGATCAGCTTGAAGACAATGGAGAGCTAATAGTGAGGAATTTCTGGGCAAATATCTAAGAGAAGACAAATTCAGAGAGTTAGTTGGTTCTGGCATTTGGAGTAACTTCTTTTTTCCTGAGGGAATCGGCACATCCTAGAAAATGTGGCTAAAAAACTGAGTGATGCTTTCACCAGCTTTGTAAAACTAGAGGGACAAAGACTGTAGTCAAGGTGGAGGCCCTGGTAAGCCTCCTCCATTTGGTTTGCACCTTGGTGGCTCAGTCAGTTAAGCATCTAACTCTCAATTTTGGCTTAGTTCATGATCTCAGGATCCTGGGATCAAGCCCCGTGTGAGGCTCTGGGTTCAGCATGGAGTCTGCTTGGGATTCTCTCTCTCTCTCTCTCTCTCTCTCTCTCTCTTTCTCAAATAAATAAATCTTTAAAAAAAGGTACATAACTCATCTGATTCATAGATGGAGAGGAATTTGGCTCAAGATGAATCATACCTTGACTCACCCATACCTGATTTAGAGGATATTTAGATGAGACTTAGTTGATGCTCTAAGACTTTGGGGGCTATTGGGCTGGAATGAGTGTATTTTGCAGGTGAGAAGGACACCAATTTGGGGGTGGCAGTGGAGGACTACAGACTGTGTCCCTCCAAAATACAAATGTTAAAGCTCTAACCTGCAATATTATGACATTTGGAGATAAGTGCTGTGGGAGATTAGGCATAGATGAGGTCATGAGGATGGGTCCCCCCATTTAGAAGAAGAGACACAAGAAAGCTTATTCTCTTTTTCCTTGCTATGTGAGGACATGGCAAGGAGGCAGCCATATACAAACCAGGAAGAGAGTTCATCCCAGAAACCAGCTATGCTGACATTTTGATCTTGGACTCTTAGCCTCCAGAACTGTGAAGAAATTAAGCTTAAGCTACCCAGTTATGATATTTTGTTAAAGCAGCCTGAGCTTAGATACTTATGTTTAAAGAGATAAAAGTCAGTATTGAAATTTTCAGGATAACTGTAAATCATAAAAATGATATAGCAGATTTGAAGAAAATAGAAATTCTAGGATCTAGGGGTGCCTGAGTGGCTCAGTCGGTTAAGCATCTGCCTTCAGCTCAGGACGTGATCCCAGGGGAACTGGGGGGCACCATCAAACATCTGTCCACCCTGATACAGAATGACCTGAAAAAGAAAGGAAAATAAATAAATAGGCCACTACATCCCCATCTAGACACATAGTACATAACAATAACTATCTGGTAGATAGGAGACGGCACCAAACATCAGAAAACTTTACTTCTCCTCTTACAGTTGTCACCAAGTTTCTACCTCAGCACCAGTGCATAGGTCTATTCTGGGATTCTAAATTCTTATATCCCCAAACTGGAATAACACTGTTTACTTCTAATCCATCACAATATAGAAAATGTCTTTAATGCAATCTTACTATCAGCCCATACATATTTTTATTCAAATAATTTCAAAATAAAAAGTTTTTAAAAATTAGCACTGCCATTCTCATGCTTACTAGGTGACAAAATGATAGATCATAGTTATAGCCTGAATATAAACGAATGTCATAAGAGGGAAGAAGAGTTGTGGGTCATGATTGCTCTTATGTCAATTTCTATTATCAAAGTCAACTATTTATGAGAGATTGAAATTTTTCAGGATAACTGTAAATCATAAAAATGATATAGCAGATTTGAGGAAAATAGAAATTCTAGAATCTAGGGGTGCCTGGGTGGCTCAGTCAGTTAAGCATCTGCCTTCAGCTCAGGACATGATCCCGGGGTCCTGGATTGAGCCCTACTTTGGGGTCCCTGCTCAGCAGGAAGCCTTCTTCTCTTTCTCCCTATGCCTCTCCCCCTGATTATGCTCTCTCCCTCTCTCTCAAATAAATAAGTAAAATCTTTTAAAAAAAATTCTAGAATCTAAAAATACAGTAATCAATATGAGAAACTCAATGAATGGATTTAAGAGCAGGATAAATACAGCTACAGAGGAAAATCAATAAATTAGAAGATAGGGCAGAAGAATTTACTTAGAAAGAATAAAGGAACAAAAAGGTGGAAACTACAGAAGAAATGCAAGGTAGGATAATTTAATCCTTAGGAAGAGACAGGACAGGAGTAGGCATGGACCACTGATTCAAGAAATTTGACTACTAGGAGAAATATGTTAGGAAGTCATGTGTAATGTGAATTTTTTAAAAACAATGAAAGACTCAATATTTGACAAACCTTCTTAACCCCAAGCAAAAAAAAATTAAAAATCTATACCTAGATACATTTTAATATGACTACTGAAAACAAAAGAAAAAAATCTGAAGTTTTCAGAAGAAAAAAAAGTTTTCAGAAGAAAAGTATGTGAATTGTCTTCAAAAGAGCAATAATTAAGCTGAAGTTGACTTCTCATCAGAAACAAAGCCAGAAAATAATCGAATTATAGTTTCAAAATGCTAAAATAGATTAAAAACATAGGATCTATCCCATGCAAATATATCCTTCGAGAATGACAAAGAAAGACATTTTTAGATAAATGAAACAAAATTTATCACTAGGAGATTTTTCACTACAAGAGATTACTCGAGGGTGTTATACAAACAGAAGGAAGATTATCCCAGGTGGAAAATTGGAGATAAATAAAGAATATGTGGATATTTATTGACTGCATAAAACACAGTAAGAAAAAGCAACACTAGTGACATTAGAGTTAGCATAAGTAGTGTGGGAGTCCAAAATCCATACTTGAACTAAGTTGTCCTAAGATACTTGCATTATCTAGGAGGGGGATAAAATGCTATTTAATATTATCTTTGATGACTCAAGGCAACAGTCTGTAACCTCTAAGATAACTCCTAAAGCATAGTAGAAAGATGTATGACATCTAAACTAATAGAAGAAAATGGAATAAAAAAAACCCATTTAGTATAAAAGGAAGATAGGATAGGAAAAGAAAATAAAATGGTAGATGTTTATCATTGATTCATCACTCATTTATATTAAAGAGCTAAATGCTCAAAGTCAGAATTTGTCAGACTGAATAAAAACTAAATCCTGTTTGTAAGAGGCATATACAAAACCTAAATATACAGAATGCTTACAAGTTAAAGGGTAAAAAAAGATACCATGAAAACATCATCCACAGGAAAGCAGATATATTAATATTGAACAAAGACAACTTTAAGGCAGAACGGCCTATTAGACAAAACGGACAGTTCATAAAGATAAAGGTTTTAATTCATTGTGAAGGTATGAGTCACAAATAGGAATGTATCTAATAACCTGGCCTCAACTTTTTTAAAGCAAATTTAATAGAACGGCAAATCCAAACTAATTCTAGGAAATTTTAATCTCTATCAGAAGCTGATGGAGCAACCAGGGGGAAGAAAAAAGAAATGGAAGGCATAATTGAGAAATTTGATGTAATGCACATTTATAGAATGTTACACCTAACAAGTACTGAACGCATAATTGAGAAATTTGATGTAATGCACATTTATAGAATATTACACCTAACAAGTACTGAACGCACATTATTTAAGGGCACACACAACAAACACGTACAAAAACTGACTATATACTGTCCTAAAGCAAATGTCAACCATTTCAGAGTTGAAATCACGCCAAATGTGTTCTTTGATAAAAATGCAATGAAACTAGAAATCAATAACAAGATAATTCTAATATGTTTAAAAATTAAGAAATACAGACATTCATCAAAGAAAGTGTCAGAACTAGAAAATATTTTGAACTGAAAAATGACAAAAATGTTGTGTATGTATCAAACTTGTGGAATGCTGTTAATGTGGCACTTAGAAATTTGTAGTTAAAGGCATTGATTTGAAAAGATGAAAATAAGACTAAGCATCCTTTTCAATAAATTATAAAAAATGGTAAATTAGATACAGAAAAGCAAAAGGAAAGAACTAATACAATAACAGCAGAATTTAATAAAACAAAATAAAATTTGAAGACAAACATTATGCATAAGTTACGGGAAAAATTTAATAAAACAAAATAGACATATCTTCTGATTTTAGGTAAGATGTACGTAGCTGCAACATTTAGAGAAAACGATAGATAAATAGTAAACACCATATTTTCAAAGACATTGGAGAGCTGTGAAAATCAAAAGGACTAGATGAATTATAACAGCAGAGAGGAAAGTCCTTCCTCAGTGATCTGAGATACTGGCCATTTTCTTGCCTTGGGGATGGCCAAGTTTGGAATAAGCTTGGGCTCAGGTTTGCCAGGGGGCAGAGGGTCTTTATTCACTAGGGGAAACAGAAACCAGCAAGACTCTTAAAATCAGTACAGGCAAGCATGATGGATTGCAATCCAGAGGAGCTCCAAATGTAAGGGCAAATTTCCCCCACAGAATGTCAGCATTAGCTTTTGGTGGATAAACTTTTTACTAGTGAAAACATGTTTGAATCTAATGTGTGTTACTTAACCAGCTCTTTCTTCTTCTTTCTTTCTTTCTTTCTTTCTTTCTTTCTTTCTTTCTTTCTTTCTTTCTTTCTTTCTTTCTTCTTTCTTTCTTTCTATTTTACTTATTTATTCATGAGAGAGAGAGAGAGACGCAGAGACACAGGCAGAGGGAGAAGCAGGCTCCATGCAGGGAGCCCGATTGGGGACTCGATCCTGGGACTCCAGGATCACGCCCTGGGCTGAAGACAGGTGCTCAACCACTGAGCCACCCAGGCATCCCTAACCAGCTATTTCAATGGTGATCTTCACTCAGTCTCGTGGATTTAACCATTGTTAATTTATTGTTCCATGATTTTTTTGTTTGTTTGTTTTGGTCAGAAATAGCTGTATACCCTGACTTGCTTACCTCAATGATACTTGATGGCTTAGCAATCTTTCAGTGTGAGTTTTTCAGCTCAAACTAAGATTGAGATTTTTCTAAGTAAGAAAATTACCCTTATCTACTATTATGGAACAATGAAAGGCTTTGGAAATTAGCTTTTGCTGTCGACTTGATACTATTTTTAAATGAATCCAACCTAAAATTACAAGGCGATGGGCAGCCCCGGTGGCCCAGCGGTTTAGCACCGCCTGCAGCCCGGGGTGTGATCCTGGAGACCTGGGATCGAGTCCCACATTGGGCTCCCTACATGGAGCCTGCTTCTCTCTCTGCCAGTATCTCTGCCTCTCTCTCTCTCTCTCTCTCTGTGTGTGTGTGTGTGTGTGTCTCATGAATAAATAAATAAAATATTTTTAAAAAATAAAATGAAATTACAAGGCGAAACAGAGCTTATATTGCAGAATTTGCACTACGGTAAAGTCATTTCAGAATCACTAATTACTAACACTGAATTACAAGTAATGGCCAGCTGCTTTATATACTTGCTGTGCTGTCAAAAGTTAAAACAAGAAGCAAGATTTTAATTCCCACATATATCTGCAGTGAATATGTTTTCTGAGTTTAAACTACACCTCCAGGAGCATTTTTTGAAACCTGAAACAAGTGCAAAGGAAATTTTTCTATTCCAAAGTCTCTTTTACTGTGCAATGGAAGAATGTCCACTTAACCTTTGACTGGAAGTGATTACTATGTGTCGTAATGGCGTGCTAGGAGGGAAGTATCAAGAGACGGATCTAACGGAGTTCTGTAAATGCCTCCCAAGCAATAAATACGCAAAATCAAAAACATATGTTCATGGGTTGATATCAGTATTGGCAGCACCTGTCTGTATGTCAGACATTTTCAAAGCTGAAATGTGGGTGGAGGTCTCATTGCAAATGTTTGTCTGCTACTAGTGATATGTAATCAGTTTTGATGATCTGAACCTCAATTAAGCAAAATGTTATCCCTAAATAAAACTTCCATTTTTCTCATTAGTAGACCTATATTAAAAAATAAACCTGTCATCATTATTACTATCTTTTGAATTTTATCAATAAAAATTTTGTGGAAATTTGTTTTCTCTTGTTGAGGACCCACATAATATCCTTGATTTTGTTTACTGACCCACAAAGCCTAAAATTCTTACTATCAGGCCCTTTGCAGAAGTTTGTCAATTCCTACTATGTAGCAATTAAAATGAATGAAGGAGAACTAAATACAACATGGATGAATCTTGCAAATATAGTAAGTATCGAAAGAAGCCAAATCCAGGGATGCCTGGGTGGCTCAACTGGTTAACCATCTGCCTTCAGCTCAGGTCATGATCTCAGGGTCCTGGAATTGAGCTCCGCATCGGGCTTTCTGCTTAGCAGGGAGTCTCCTTCTCTCTCTTACTCTCCCTGTGTTCTCTCTCTCTCAAACAAATAAATAAAATCTTTTTTTTTAAAAAAAAAAAAAAAGGAAAGAAGCCAAATCCAAAAAGAAACCTATAGTATGAGTCTATTTATATGGAATTCAAAATCAGCACTAAACTGTGGCACTTAGGAGGTAAAAAAGAAAAGCAAGGAAATGAATACTGTAAAAATCAAATAAAAATCAGAATAGTGGGGCAGCCTGGGTGGCTCTGTGGTTTAGTGCCGCCTTCAACCCAGGGCATGATCCTGGAGACCCGAGATTGAGTCCCACATCAGGCTCCCTGCATGGAGCCTGCTTCTCCCTCTTCCTGTGTCTCTGCCTTTCTCTCTGTGTCTCATGAATAAATAAAATCTTTTTTTAAAAAAATCAGGATAAAAAAATAAAATAAATAAAAAAATCAGAATAGTGATAATTTTTAGAGGTTAGGGAGAGGGTTGTGATTGCAAAGGAGTAAGAGGGAGCTTATAGGACTTCTTCACCTGGGTAGTATTTAGACAGGTGAATATTTAACATGTATTCACCAAGCTGCACATTGGTTTTCTGTTATTTTCTCATATGTGTCATACTCTTTAATTAAAGCTAGAAATAGGGATCCCTGGGTGGCGCAGCAGTTTGGCGCCTGCCTTTGGCCCAGGGCACAATCCTGGAGACCCGGGATCGAATCCCACATCGGGATGGAGCCTGCTTCTCCCTCTGCCTATGTCTCTGCCTCTCTCTCTCTCTCTCTCTCTCTCTCTCTCTCTCTCTGTGTGACTATCATAAATAAATAAAAATTTAAAAAAATAAATAAAAGCTAGAAATATGTGTGCATATATACAAACATATATACATCCATGATGCTTGCAATACACATAAAATATTTCTGGACAGATCAAGAAATTGGTTAAGTATTGTCAGTAGGCTTAGGGACTGGGAGGAAATATATTTTCCTCATGTTCATTTCCTTTTGTAGTCTGAATTTTTTTACAGTGTACACATATTAAGTTTTCAGTTATAATTCAGCTAATATAAAGTTTATAAGTGCTATAATTTGGAAACTGAGACCCTGTGAGTTAAGAAACATTTGGATCATGGGGCTCATAAGTGGCAGAACTAGGATATTTCTGGTGATGTCTGCCTTTTGAACCAAGGCTCCGTATAATTGCATCACAGTAATTTTTTGAATGTATTGTTCTGATAATAATTATTTCTTAAAAGATGACATAAACATTTGTGGGTTTTTATGTGTTGTTTGTTTGTTTGTTTTACAGATTATCTTTCCTAAAAGAAGCTGTGCAAATCATCATAAAGAATTCCTATATCTGTGCTTCTTCCAAGATGTACAGCTCTTATGGACTTGTCAATGTGTAATTCATGAGGAAAGATCTTTATTTTCCATAAACTTCCAATAATTTAAAATGATTTTCAGTAATAATAATCAAATGAAGGAGTTTATTCTCTTTGGTGTTTCCCAGATGCTCTACTTCAAGAGAAAATTTTCTTATGTTTCATTTCAACATTTTGTTAACTACGAGGATATTCTGGCTTAATCAAACAAAAAGAAATGTTACTGAATATTTCTTACATAGTTTTGGCTTGATATTCATGGTACATTGACCTTATCTGCTAAGTTTGAAAGCATGCATACTCCATGACCTGGCATTTCACCTCCTAGATATATACTCAATAGAAATACATGAGTATATGCATCAACAGGCATAACAAGAATGTTCACAGCAGTACTTTTCTTTATAGCTCCTCAACTAGAAACCCAAACATTCATTGACATTGGAATAAAAAAATAAGCTATGGTATATCAATATAATGGCACATCAACTTAACCTTGAGCTTTAGATCTAAGAATATTTATGCAACACCCCTATAGAGAGGGTGCTGTTAGAGAGCAATCTGCCCACCCTGTGTGTTGACAAACATTAGGATCCCTCCTCATTTAAAGATTGGTAAATAGGAAACAAACAAACCCTAAAAACAAAAGTATCAACAACAAATCTACCTGAGCCCCATGCATGTTACTCTGAAAGCAGAATAAAAGCCTATCTTAGAAAATGTCCTTCTATAGGAAACAAGAAAATCTTCAGAAGCTACCTGCTGGTGATTTTAATAGGAGGCAAAAAGAAATGGCCTCAGGAAACTGAAGCAGAGAATAATAAGAGCAGATGCCAACAGAGAGTTGCAGGCTGGAAAGAAAGGAAAACTGGCTAATGTGAAAAAAAATGCAAAAAGATTTAAAAATCCAGTGAAACACATTTGGATGCAGTTTAAAGAACAAATTTCACAGCAGAGAATAAAAGAGGTGATGTTGCTAATGAAATTAAGTCATCCAGTATGGTTTGGGAAGGATAAAGAGATGAAAATGACAAAGAGGTTAGCTCTGGATGACCAATCCTACAAGCAGTAGGAAATCTTAAAGAAGAAACCAAGACAAATAAAATAGTTTTAATAAAAGATTTTCTGAGCTGAAAAAATACTTGATCATACAACTTTGGAAAGGTTTACCTTGTATTAGGATAACTGTGATCAAGGTAACTTTTCTTTGCCTGAGAATCACTGACAAACAGAAAAGCACTACACAATTAATGAGGGAGTTGAGTTTTGTTCCTTTAAAAATGCTAACCTGATTGAGGTAAAAGTTATTCACTTGTAAAATAAAAAATCAGGGACACAAGACAGAATGAGAAGAAGCAAATTAGGCAATGGGATAGAAAATGGTGGCAGGGTGGGCTGTGGGGAGTGAAGGTGCTATACTATAGCAGGCAACAGCAGACTTATTCTGTAAAGAGCCAGATAGTAACTATTTTAGGTTTTGTGGGTTAGTTTCTGTTGCAATTACTCAACTCTGCCATTATAAGGTGAAAGCAGCAATAGGTAACATATAGAAGGCACATGGTTGTGCTCCAATAAAACTTTACAAAAACTGACAGCAGCCAGATTTGGCCCTTGAGCTGTACTTTGCCCATCCCTGCTATATAGCAATGAACTGAAGTTGAAATCAATACCTACTTTCATAAAGTGTTTAAAGCAGCTTTTAATAAAGAACATATAATGAAACAATATTTTCTATTTTCAATTTTTTAAAAGATTTATTTATTTATTCATGATAGATGTAGAGAGAGAAAGAGAGGCACAGGCACAGGAGGAGAGAGAAGCAGGCTCCATGCCAGGAGCCTGACGTGGGACTCGATCCCGGGACTCCAGGATCACGCCCTGGGCCAAAGGCAGGCGCCAAACCGCTGAGCCACCCAGGGATCCCCTGAAACAATATTTTCTAAAACAATCTTTATGCAGTCTTCAAAAACTAAGATTTGTTTTTAGGCAAAAAGGAAAATACAAAGTAATACAGAATTCTCATTAGCTAACTGAAGTTTACCAGGAGGGGAAAATTTTCTGTTACTAGCAAACTTCTACTTATAATGGCTTTAGTTAAAACACCTAAACTTTAATAACCATTGCTCTTAAAAATAAAAGTGATGAGCAAAACTCATGTTTAAAGCATGCGGTCATGGCAACTGAAGCTATGTAGTTGGTTGGGACTAGTCAAATAATCAATAGCAATACACAATCACAATGAGCTGATTTTTAAAGTAGAAAATTTTTTTTTCATGGATGCATAATCATATATAGTGAACCTTCGTGCCACTTAACAAAGGCATTGCCTCTTCTCAACATGCTTAAGAACAGGCAAGGTAAAATCCAAGGAAGAAGTGTGTAGTGTGAGTAAAGGATCTCTTTGGGATGAGAAACCATTAAGTGCAAAATTGTTAGAGATTCCAAATCTTTAGGTGCAGAACCCGAGACAATTTAAAGGCTGAGTATACGTTGATTCAAGAGAACTCTCATCCCCGTCCTCAATTCTGGACCCTAGTACCTACCTGGGAGTAGAGTTGCACCTACTAAGATGACTTGGAGTACACTTTTATGCAGAAAACTACGCAGAGAAGTAAAGGCCCAGTTACCAGTAGAATGGAGAATGCTAGCTGGCAAGAGTGATATAGAAATGGCCTCCAACTGTGTTTACCACTTGGCCTTCATTCCACCAAGTGGTAAGCACAGTTGGTTTTTTTTGTTGTTGTTTTGTTTGTTTTTGTTTTTGTTTTTTTAAGTTTCCCAAGTGATCTAATGTACATTCAAGACTTAGGATAGGAGAAATCTTTCCCAAAGTAACTATCCCTCCCCAAGTACTGACCATTCAGAAACTTACTATAGGAGACATATCTTTAGTCTAGGCTTTAATGATATTTTATTTCTAAAGCCTCAAAGATTGAAAAGACTAGAAAAAAATTGTGGGAGCAAACACAGGCACTGAGCACAATCATAACACTTGTACTTCCTCTGCCGTAGCCCATATCACACTTGATTATAATTGCCTGCATAATCATCTCTCTCACCAACTGGACTGTTAGCTCTGAGATGAAGGCAGGAGCTATGCCTCATAAGTACATTTGTTTTTATTCCTGGTACCTGACACAGTTTCTGGCACGTGGTAATCTCTCAATAAGTATTTATTGAATGAAATTCTACACACTTAATATTTGTAAAAGCAAATAATTCTATGATTTGGAAGAACATTTGTGAATATTTTGGTATTTTATGCTATGAAATGAGTTTTTAAAAATAAAATTCTTGATTTATAATATTCATTTCTAGCAAATAAAGATATAACTTTTTGTGTTTCAACTGGTGAATATTACACAGGAACCAAGTAAGTCATAAAGGGTGTAGGAGCTTCTATACTACATCCAAAAGGGAGTTTATCCACTTATTCTGTACAAACAACATTAACAACTTTAAAAACCTCCGACAGAGGTTTTAGAGAAATGTTTTTCTCAATAATATAGAGAAAATAGAGGTTAAAGGCATCATATTAAAATATAACCATAATATCAGCTTCTAATTATGACAGAAAGAAGAGGCCAGCAATTCTTCTCCACTAATAGGTAAGTAGGTAGATAGATGATTGATTGATAGATAGATAGATAGATAGATAGATAGATAGATAATAGATATAACTAGACAAAATTGTAAAAAAAAAAAAAACTCACCCATTTTAGGGCCTAGAAATCTCAGAGATGGCCAACACTTTAAAAACCTACTAAAGATTCAGGTAAGAACAGCACAGGTCTACACTACCCCTAACCCCCATGCAGCTCAGTCTGCAAGAATGGCAGTCTTCCAGTCTAGCAGTTCTGTTGCCAGAGAGGAAAGACTTAATTTAGGGTGGGGAGATGGGGAGAAATCTTGTGACATTACATGCTAAAGGTATCACCTTCTCAGTAGTTGATAGAACAATTAAATAAGAAATCGGTAAAATTTTAGACAATCTGAACAACACTACTCATTGCCTTAAGCTAATGCTAATCAGAACACTACACCTAACTACCACAGGATATACATTCTTTTCAAATGTACATAGAACATTTGCTGCGATAGATCATATCCTGTGCCATTAAACAAGTCTCAATAAATTCAAAGAATTGAAATAAAATATGTTCTCTGGATGCAAATAATTAAATTAGAAATCAAAAGAAAAAAGTAAAGTTAGAAAATCCCCCAAACATTTAGACATTAAACAATAAATAGCTTTTGGATCAAAAAGACATCACAACAGAAGTTAGAAAATACTTTGACCTGAATGATTGAGCAAATATATCTTTGAAATTTATGGGATGTAACTAAAGCAGTCAACAGATAAATATATACTTTTATATGCTCATGTGAGAAAAGAGTTTTAAAACCACGTAAGTTTCCACATGGGAAAGACACAAAAAGAAAAAGCAAACCCAAAGTAAGTGCAGCAGATATTTTAAGAACAGAAATCAGGGCAGCCCAGGTGGCTCAGTGGTTTGGCACCTGCCTTCAGCCCGGGGTGTGATCCTGGAGAGCCGGGATTGGGTCCCACGTTGGGCTCCCTGCATGGAGCCTGCTTCTTCCTCTGCCTGTCTCTCTGCCTCTCTCTCTCTTTGTGTCTCTCATGAATAAATAAATAAAATATTAAAAAAAAATCAATGAAACAATAGAGATAACAAAACCAAAATTTTGTTCTTTGAAAAGGTTAATAAAATTAATTCCTAGCAAAACTTGTTTAAAAAAGAAAACAAATTTCAATGTCAAAATGAGAGGGAGTATCATTTTGGGGAGTGAAAGAAGGAATGTCACTACAGGTCCTATAGGCGTTAAAAGAATAAGGGAGTATTTGGAAAACTTATAACAGTAATTTGATAGCTTACATGGAATGGACAAAGTCTTGAAACAATTTACCAAAACAGATATAAGAATAAAATGCAATTTCTGAGTAGCTCAATACCTGTTAGGTAAATTGAATTTTTGATAAAAAAAATTTCCCTCAAAGAAACCTTCCAAACCAGATGGTTTCAGTGGTGAGTTCATCAATCAATCAAATAAATGAATTCAATCCCATAAATTCATCCAACATTTAAGGATACTGATACTAATTTTATACAAACTCAGAAGATAAAGAGGAAGCACTTCTTGATGAAGTTTTGGAATGTAGGTGAAGTTTGGTGGGGTGAGGTCCAGAACCGACAACCAAGAATTCTTGAGATGTCTTTGGTACAAAATGGTGGTTTTATTAAGGCCCGGGGACAGGACCAGTGGATAGGAAGAGCTGCTCTCCTGGGCCTGTGAGGGATGGCTGATTCCATCCCTCACAGGGGGATAGCATACTCTAAGGAATTTTGGAAGCAAGGTTTCCAGAACCTTGAAAGGGCTAGCTATTGTTGGGGAAACGTCATTTATTTTCGTCTAATAAAACCTGAGTCATAAGACCCTTCAGGTGTGTATCGGTGGGCCACGTGCTTGGGGATGATTGCCAACATGTATCTTACAGGGTAGAAATAAAGCAAATTTCTAAAAGTTTAGATTGCCTTTTGCCCTTAGCAAAGTATTAACATCGAGGCAGTTGAGTCTGTAGACTCTGCCTGTTTCAAGGACTTGTCAATGTGCTGCCCCAGGCTTGTGCGTTGTCTTCAGCTAGCCCTGTTCCCCCATCACTTCATATCACACTTTAAGAGGCCAGTAAAATCATAATGCCAAAACCTAACAAAGGTAAGAAAATAAGGTTAAATATCTATATCCTTCATGAATATAGATGCAAAAGTCATTAAGAAAATGTTACCAAATCAAATCCAGCACTACATGAAACAAAACAAAAACCAAGACAATACATCAGGATCAGTGGATTTATTCCAAAGATGCGAGGTTGGTTCAAGATTTAGAAGTCAATATAATTCACTACATTAATAGGAAAAAAGGATAAAAGCATTATGATTTTAATAATCAAAGAAAAATCAAAATGCCTCTCTCATTTGGGATTAGAAATTCTCAAAAACAAAACAAAACAAAAAAAAAACCTAGGAATAGAAAGTAACTTATTCAATCTAAACAAAAGGATCCATATACAAACGTGCAGCCTGCATAATATCGGATGGTGAAATACCGGTGGTGAATACCACCCACCTCAATACTGGTAAAAAAAAAAAAAAAGGCAAAGATATCCACCCGCACCATTCTATTCAATATTAATTAGCTCTAAATGGTGCAATAAGGTAAGGGGGAAAAAGCATAAAGATTGGAAAGGAACAATTAAAACTAAAAACATTTTGCAGAAAACATCATTGTTTACACAGAACAACCTAAGAAATATTAAAGAATGACTCCTGGACAACTACTATTTAACAAAGACACAGGACACAGGCCAATATACAGAAAAATATGTATGACTATATACTAGCAATGATTGGAAGATGCAAAAAAATTAAATTCTATTCACAGTAGTATTAAAAGACCTAGACAGTTAAAACTTAATAAATTTAACAAAAGACATAGAAGACCTCTGCACTGAAAACTACAAAACACCATGAAAAAATTAATGACCTAAATGAAGAGATATACAATGTTCATGAACTGGAACACACAATGCTATTATGATGTTGACTCTCCCAACTAAATCTGTAGATTCAATGCAATCACCAAACAGCAGAGGCATTTTGATAAGTTGATTTTAAGATTTACATGGTAAAACAAAGGGCTAAGAAAGAGCCAAAACAATTTTAAACTGGAGGGTATTATGATGAGCGAAGTAAGTTCAATCGGAGAAGGACAATCATTATATGGTTTCACTCATACAAGGAATATAAAAAATAGTGAAATGCATA